GAGGACAAGTAAGATGGAGTATTAATTTTAAAATAATTCTCTGCTCTCTCCCTCTTCAGGTAGTAAAGATTATAAGACCAAGTGAAACTGCTGGAAGATATGTTACATACAGACTTGTACAATAAACCTTATTTAAACAAAATTCATTATTTCTGCATTTTAGACTAGACACGCCTCGTAACCATAATGCGCGTCAAGTAAAGATTGGGTGGGGCTCGCTGCTTGCTATATAGCTAGCAGCAGGGCCAGCAACCAGGCCTGCTTATGGCGTCTAAAAGTATTTTTGCAACACTTCCTAGGCCATTTAAAGGTAAGCACAAATATTAACGACCCCGGGGTAGCATTATTTATGTCAACCGTAGATAAACCATCTATGGATAAACCAAAAAGAAGAGCTCATCACTGCGCTGTATCAGTAGGTGATTCACTGTATGTGTGGGGTGGTAATCAGAATCGTTTTGCTGGAGTACATGACAATGAAGAGAAGAGAAAGATCACTAGTACTATACAGCACTTTACTCCTTCAACTGGTCAATGGATCACTAGAGATACTGCTGGTACTCCTCCATTAGGAGTGATTGAATACTGCTGTACTGCAATAAATGATCTATTGTATTATTTTGGAGGAGCTTGTGGCCATGGCAATTGCTATCACAACAGTATTACACAACTGGATACCGTTAGTCTTCAATGGAGAGAATTAGAACCAACTGATGCAACTAGACCAGTTATGAGAAGAGGTTATGGTGGAATGATATCATTTAAACATGATGGAGTACACCATTTACTAATGATAGGAGGAAGAGGATCTAAACCAGCTGTACAACTACCTCATTATAAATATATTGAGTTACCTCATGGAAACTGGCATACTAATGAGCATTCAATATATAATATATCATCAAGTAAAGTTTTATTATGTTTGAAATTAATAATCTTAATTTAGAAAAATGGAGTACTCCTTTAATCAATGGTCAGTGTATACCACCTGCTGAGAGCTTCATCATTGAAAAGATCAACAACACTAGAGCTATTCTGTTTGGTGGGGTAGAGACTATTGATGGTGATGAAGATGCTATTACTAACAATATTTATATATTAGAGATATCACTCGGCACTGTGGTAAGTTATGTGTTCTGAATGTAGACTTAAAGTCTTTGCCACTATCCATGCATGTTTATAGGTTTGGCAGTGTATAAAGAAACCCGAAGCAATAGACCAATGGCCTGTGGGCAGGTACAATCATGGAGGTGCTATTGTTATAACTGGATCAGACTTTCCTATACTAGTGATAAGTGGCGGGAAAGATAAGGATGGGCATACGCTAGATGACTATTGGATCTTTAACATCACTCAACATTCCTGGATAAAGGTATACACTCACTACAATGAGATCATCATAATTATTTTTCTCTCCATTAACAGTTAGATGTACCCAAAACCTTCTCTCTTAGATATGCACATTCTCTCTCAAGCTTTGTTTTGAGTCCTCATTGTGCTTTGATAGTAACTGTTGGAGGAAGATGTCATGACTCTACTGCATTCATCACTAAGCCTAATATTGCAATGTTAAATTGTAAGTGGAGATTCAACTGCCATTAATTATATCTATATGTTCATTATTACAGTCATTGACAATAAAGGAGAGTGGACAGTAGGTGATACATTAGATACCAATGGTATGAATAATGAAGAATACAAGAAGAAGTATCAGCAGCAACTACAGACAGGAAGAAGAATAGAGGAGCATGAGGAGCCAAAAAAAGGAGCCTTGGATACAGCAGATATTGAGCAAACTGTACAAACTCTTATTCAGAATCTTCAAGAGAAGGAGAGAGAAGCACAAGTTTTTAGTCAGCAGTTGGAACAGAAGGAAAGAGAAGAAGCAGAGAAAGATCAAGAAATAAGAAGATATTGTCATCAGCTACAAGAGAAGGATAGGGAGCATCAGGTGGTACTGCTGGAGCTACAGGAGG